TGGCATGCCGGCCGGCCGGCCGGCGGACTATGAAAGCAACCAATGGCTTATATGCCATAGCTTTTCAGCACTCACACGTACAACGTGTTGAGCCGGTCGGCCAATATATAAGCCATTAAGAAGGCGAGGGCAAGCGGGATCTCGGTAGTGTAAGGGAAAAGAGCACGGTCCCCGGAAAGGGCAAGTACAGGTTCGAGTCCCATCCGAGACTGGAGTTTTGCCCACAAATCGCCAACCTTGGAGAAATCTGGACTATGGTCCATGCATTTTGTTTACTTGTTGGGAGTTCTTTCCAGAGATTTTCGGGAATTTTTTTCTCAGCCGGCCGGAATTAAATAGGTGTTTTCAGGTGGCAAAACCTTCCAAATATGAAGAAACACTTAGAGGACCATGTGACATGTTTCAATGATGCCCATATGGGTGAGTTCCAGGAAACAAATTGGATAAGTTATTAAATATACCCAATGAAAGTTGACCTATAACTTAGTGAATTGAAGCTGGACAGACTCCTATGTGATTACTTAATTGCAAACTTAGTTATAGAACTGTGCGATACGGCCAACGACCCAGTTTCTTTTTTCTGTGTCATTTTTGGACCCCTAAATAAATAAATAAACAAGTAAATATAGTAAATTGTTTATGAGCTTGCCTGTCCTCCGTACCCGCGATGACCGGGTAAAGCAAGTGGAGCCTCGAGCAGCCAGCTACATACATTGTCAAATTCCCTTCGTTAGGCTGTATACGAGAATGACGGTATTCGTTTCAGGAGCAGCACTCACCAGAAGAGGTGATACTGTTGAAGAAAAACAACTCCATGATACTCTTGTAGAGTTCGCTAAGTAAGTTCTCGAAATCACCAATCTCCCATCTGTGAAAAGAAGTTCCTATATAGGTAATGTTAGTAACTGACAGTACCGTGAAACCATCATTGACCTTACAACGTATGAAAATCTTGAAAATTATTTGAAAAAATAGTAAAATGAGAACTTCACATTGCTGGTGCTGTTCCAATAATTCATACACCTTGAAGTGGATTTCGATCGTACGCGTGCGCGAACTGGAGGCCGCTTTGAGGGTGTGGTGCATTAGGAACGAAATGGTCGCGTCGCGGTGAGAGAGGCGTCGCGCGCGAAAGAATGTAGTAGGATGCAGCAGTAGGTAAGAAATACAAGAACAAAGGTACTAATAGTAGAATTGTGCATAAAATAATGATCGCATATCGATTGAGCTGTATTAAGAACGCCAGAGCTGTAATAACGACGAATGAGTGGTCCGCGACAGCCGCGTGCGGCAAATCGATTACCCAAAATCGTTCCTAACGCCCGTCTCCCCGCTTTTGAAAGCGCGGTTCAAGAAAACTTTAGGGTTTATATGTAGTTTTAGACGAGTGATGTTAGTGATAGTCTAGAATAGTGCAAAAGTGGGGTGGAAATTGCGAAAAACCACGCATTTAGAGAAATGGAAAGTTTCAGAAAAGAAATAAAATTAGGGGTTGGACGAGAACGAAGCTGCACGGAAAAAGTATTTGGACGAGCTGTCCAGATATGTGGGCGTCATTGCGTACAGCTCGCTACAGTAATCTGCCTTTGTGCGACGTGTGTGTCCCGGTGCGAATGGTGCAGTCTTTAGAGCCTTGAACGCGATACGAATTTGTCTGCCTTGGTTCTGTACGTCAGCTAAACTGCTTTCAATGCCCATATGACGTCCTATTTAGGCCGTTTGCGGGTCTTAGGCCAATAGTCTCTCACGAACCGTTCCTATCGTGAACTGTGCCTTTTACCTTTGTCCTACCAGAGCCCCTTTCTCGGTTTTTGATAAAATTCTATTCTATCAAGGTTTCCATACAGATTGTTTCTTGAAAATATTTTTCAGAACCAGCGATGCCGATAACGCCAAGGTCTGTCAAGATGTTGGTGTGGCTTTGTATGAAGGGATGACGCTCTATGGACGTGGGCAATATGATAAAGCAGCAG